TGTGTGTGTGTGTGTGTGTGTGTGTGTGTGTGTGTGTGTGTGTGTGTATCATATATATATATATCATATATACATATACATACATACATACATACATACATATATATATATACATATATACATACATACATACATATATGTGTGTGTGTGTGTATGTATGTATATATGATATGTGTGTGTGTGTGTGTGTGTGTATGTATGTATGTATGTGTATGTATATGTATATGTATATATGATTAATGTCTTAAAATTTGTTTCCTTAATACGGAGTTAATAACGAAAGAAATATAAGCAGGGTCCTGTTAGGTGTGACTCCCTGTCCCATTTAATCCAGCGGTCTGTCTTCAGAGTGGCCAAACAACTGTTCTCAGTAAGCTCACTTTATCTCTGTGTGAAATAGGGAAGGGCTTGCCTGAGATGTTTTCTCACATTACCCTTTTTATCTGACTGTTGCTTTGGTAGCAGCTCTTTGTCCTGTCCTTCAAGGCTCTTCCCTATGCCCTCTACATTAAACCCCATCTTAGACATTTTCTACCATTCCTGTAGAAGATGACCAAGCTGAACCCGAGGGAGGAGTCAAGTACATCATTAGTCTTGAATCCATTTATTCCCACAAGAGATTTCAGTCCAGCCTACCTTGAATTCCATTGACTCTTATCTACCACCACTCTCTTCACTGGATTTTCATTTGAAAATGGGAAAAAATGCCTTTTTTAAAAAAAAAATGATCCAGAATTGTGGTCAGGGAAATATTCAGCAGGAAGACAGCTATGTGAAGACAGCAAACACCATTGAATAACTTGTGAGTGACCTCCTCTACTACCATGGTGTTTGATGGTGTAGTGGTTAAAATATAGTATTGCAGTCTAATTCTGCCCACTGCCAACAGTTCGATTCTCACCAGGCTCAAGACTGACTCAGCCTTCCATCCTTCTGAGGTCGTTAAAATGAGGAGCCAGATTGTTAGGGGCAATATGCTGACCCTGTAAACTGTTTAGAGAGAGTTGTCTATTACTATTGCTATAAATAGCAAGCCATTCCATTATAAGAACTCACCACCAAAGCTGCAGTGATCTCTCTCACACAAACAAATATACACACACATACATACATACACCTCCCCCCAAGATTATCAAAACTGGATTTGAAACATAATCCTGAACCGTTCAATTAAACTGTATGTTTCAACTTTTAACTTGTAAAGTTTGCAAACAGGATGACCCAAAATAAACTTGATCCATCCAGATTTAGCCCAATTCTCCTGTCCAAATTCAATTTCCCTTCCTTGGGCCATTCTTGATAAACCTTTGGTGGGAGAGGTAACTTTGAACAAGGTCTGGCACATGCCATGCTTGTGTGTCGTTGGACAATGGCAACAACAGTGTAGAGAAATCAAAACCTTCACTTCCATCTTGATCCATTTTTAACACACATCAGTCCAATGCCATTTGAGACCCAAGGACCAAAATATACCTCCTGGGACCCTCTCTCTCCCCTATCACACATTAGCTACCAAAGCGTGAACAAATATTGCTCTGTGTAATATTTAAAGATGGATTAACTCTGGGATCTCTTGCAGCAGGCAAAGGAGATGGATGCAAAATGAGTATGTGTGTGTGTGTGTTGTGCCAAAGAGCTGTTTGGAATTTAAATTTGATCATGAATAGCTGAAGTACTTGGCTAGCAGAACAGAAATATGGTATTATCCTTCTGAATGAAATCCTCAGATTGGTTTTAATGCATCAGACTTGGCACCTTTGAATCAATTCACAGATTTGATGCATTATTAGCATAAATTCTTTTTTCCCCTAAATTGTTACAATTCATGCAATCAGTTATTTGAATATACTAGACTTACCATATGGATTTGGGGAGATTCACAGACTCCTAGTGTTTTAGGATAATTTCAATTTGTTATAGAATTTATAGAACTAAGGAGAAATTTCCTGACAGTTAGAACAATTAATCAGTGGAACGGCTTGAATCCAGAAGTTGTGGATGCTCCAGCATTATAATTTTTTAAGAAGAGAGTGGACAGTCGCTTATCTGGAATGGATAGAGTTCCTGATTGAGCAGGAGGTTGGAGTAGAATACCTCAAAGGTCCCTGCCAGCTCTGTTATTATGTTATTCTGTTTTGTTATTCTAATGATTACTCAAATATAGACAGGAAAAAATACATAGTGGGGATAAAGTGAAGCAAGTGAAAGCAAGTGAAAGTGAGATGGGCAGCACATACATTGAATTAATATAGTAATAATTTTATAGCTGATCATATTTTTTTCATATGATTATAGCTGATCATATTTTTTGCAGTTTTACCTCCATCCAGAAATTGAAACAAGTAACATCTAAATGCCAGCTGATAAACTGCCACTTACCTAGTTCCCAGGGGTGAGATTCTACAGGCTCACACCTATTCGCTAGAACCTGTTGTTAACATCCTAAGCAGTTCGGAGAACCGGTTGTTAGAAGACATTATTGGCCTAATCCTGTAAGGAAGGCAGGAAGGAAACATTCTGGTGTTGCTTATAGAAACTGCTTCTCCATTAATCCTTATTACATTCTTGGCAGGACTAGACTTCCTGTCTCAGGAACATCTCTGGAGTTTTTTTTTCCCCTCCTTTGCTTGTGTGGAGTGACCATTCAAAGTTACAGTGGCACTGAAGAAAGTGGCTTATGACCATTTTTCACACTTACGACTGTTGCAGTATCCCTACAGTCATGAGAGGCCAGGCGAGGAGATGTGTGCCTCGATGTGAGTGATATTGAGTTGGCCACACCCAGCCAATAACATGACCACCAAGCCATGTCCACCCAGTCACATGACCACCAAACCACACCCACCAACTAAGCCACACCCACAGAACCGGTTGTTAAAAATGTGAATCCCACCCCTGCTAGTTCCCTATGGCGAGTCAAACTCACATTCAGGTAACTAAGCAAATAGGCTGTTATTAATAGATGCAGATGATACCACTCCTATGGCAGAAAGTTGAAGAGGAACTAAAGAGCCTCTTGATGCAGGTGAAGGAGGAGAATGCGAAAGTTGGCTTGAAACTTTTGAAACATTAAGAAAATTAAGATCATGGCATCCGGCCTTCTCAATTCCTGGAAAATAGATGGAGAAGAAATGGAGGTAGTGACAGATTTTATTTTCCTGGGCTCCAAGATCACTGCAGATGGGGATTGCAGCCAAGAAATTAAAAGACTCTTGCTCCTGGGGAGGAAAGCTATGGCAAATCTAGACAGCATACTAGCAAATCTAGAAAGCAGAGACATCACCCTGCCAACAAACATGTGTATAGTCATGGCTATGGTTTTCTAAGTTACAATGCATGGTTGTGAAAGTTGGCCCATAAAGAAGGCTGAGCACCAAAGAATTGAGGCCTTTGAACTCTGGTGCTGGAGAAGACTCCTATGAGTCCCTTGGACTGCAAGGCCATTCAACTGGTCAGTCCTAGAGGAGATCAACCCTGACTGCTTTTTAGAAGGCCAGATCCTGAAGAGGAAACTCAAAGACGTTGGTCACCTCATGAGAAGGAAGGACTCACTGGAGAAGAGCCTAATGCTGGGAACAATTGAGGGCAATAGAAGAAGAGGAGGATGGCAGAGAAGGAGGTGGCTGGATGGAGTCCCTGAAGCAGTCGGCGTGAGCTTAAATGGACTCCAGAAGATGGTAGAGGACAGGAAGGCCTGGAGGAACATTGTCCATGGGATCGTAATGGGTCAGACACAACTTCGCAACGAACAGCAACAATAGATGCAGAGATGCCTTCATTCTCCCCACTATTATTTTTCTTTCCTTTCCAGTATCTACATTCCATAAATTGCAGATATAGGAATGTGTTCGCCATGGTTTCTCATTGCACAAGTAATGAAGTGGGTTGTTGTTTTTTTTGTATTTCTGCATTTCTTAGATATTTCTGGCTGGAACGCATGTGGCGTTTCATGCTTCAGTAATGACATTCACAGGTGCATGAGAAAGAGGGAGAAGGGAGAGTTCAAAAGTCCATTTTATAGGCCACATGTCAATGTCCTTTAAGGACCACCCAGGTAGCAGGCAACTCGTTGTGTGTGGGTCAGTGGAATGAATATGTGGAAATCATATGTTCCTTGCCTAATCCGAGATGACATTTAGCCTTGATTCATGGAAACAATTGCAAGCCTTACCTTTGATTTATGGAGATGACCAATGTTCTGCCATCATCTTGAGAAGTTTCTCAGCTGTCCTTCTTTGTCCTGCATCCAGAATGTAGGTGTGTTCATCACTGAGTGCTTCCATCAGAACCACCTTGAGGGATTCCTACAATAAAAAGACGGGGCTTCAATAGAATCCCTCTTGTCTCAACACATTAAATTGAACACATTAAATTAAACTTCGAGTTTATTGTAATTTCTTCTTGTTTTGAGCTGAAAATTTCACCTGCACTTCTCCCCCCCCCCTTGTCATTTTATTGCATCAAAGGGAATTTGTTTTTGAAATTTCCTTCAAAGAACATAAAACTAGACAAAATATTGTCAGTGAAATGTGATCTATCTAGCTATATTCCAAATACAAATTAAAAATCATTAAATAAATGAGAGAGAGAGGAGAGAGGGAGGGAGGGAGGGAGGGAGGGAGGGAGGGAGGAAGGAAGGAAGGAAGGAAGGAAGGAAGGAAGGAAGGAAGGAAGGAAGGAAGAAAGAAAGAAAGAAAGAAAGAAAGAAAGAAAGAAAGAAAGAAAGAAAGAAAGAAAGAAAGAA